GTTAGCTGAGGAGGTGGGGAAGGCGGTGTGAAAATACACAGCGCAAGCAAAGTTTAAACAGATTAGAGACTCATCCTTTCAAATCCACTTGGCCGAGATTTTTAGCGCTGGCCTTTGAAGTTTCTCTTGAGCTGTGCGAGTCGGGGGAAATGAATTCATTCGCCATTTTACGCCCGTGTTGCTGCTACCTACACAGTGCTGACAGAATGTAAAAATTCCAATAAGCTTTGCTCCCCTTCTCCGTGTTAATGAAATAAACCCTGGGCCATCTGTGTTACTTTTATACAGCCCAGAAGGGAAGCACAGCACGGTCTCAGAGAAATTCAGGTCAACAACAAAAAAAGTCTAAACAATTACAGAGGGATGCAGACCTCATAATGTTATATGGATCATGCTCTGAGTGCTGAACATAATGCTGACATTCAAACAAGTTCAAAAGAAGAAAAAAGCTGCTAATGCTAACAGAAAAGCAGAAATGCAGTTATGTACCATACACATACGTTTTATGTAGTTTAGATTTAAAAAATGAATACCCTTTATATAGAATATTTAAATGTGCAAGTTCTCAGAGAGGTTTTTAATGTGAAACCGGTCTAAAAACAGAACAACACATTGTCAGAACTATTATAGCAGAATTTGGATTTGCCTCATTTTTGAAGTTTGAATCACTTATTCTGTTCCTTTGTTTAATACCGTCAATCTGCTTTGAATCTCGATTGCATAAAGGGTTATAAAAATACAGGTGATTTGATGACGAAAATTGAGAATTGTAAATGTTTAATGGTTATGAATTATGCTTGGCGTTTACTGACCGCTGATGTAATAGGAGTTGATGTACTGGATGGCAGCGCGGCTGATGTCTGCAGACTGAGCCCTCAGCGCGATTCCCCACAGCTGATCCATACCACACAACTACAGAAAGAGAGAGAGAACGGTCAGGGAGAACACATCGAGAGAAACCGCCGGCGAGATTTTGAGATCCGCTGCTGTGAACCTCGCAGTTGGAGCTGCTGTCGTAGGCGCTGGTGGCCAGACGAGCCAGATTACACAGATGCTGAAACAAATTGAGTCCCGTCATGCTGATCGTCTCCGGCTTCAGCTGAGGCATCTGAGAGAGAGAGAGAGAGAGAACCAGCCGATAAAAGAATCATTCTCACGGCATGTACTGTATAAAAGATGTGTTTCAATGATACGGTGACCAGACCTTCTCCAGGAAGAGGTGTTTGTATGTCTCCATGCCCATGGCGTGCTGGTCTTTACTGCGGACCTGGTTTAGGAACCAGTGCAGGGCGTCGTCGTAACACTCAGAGTCCTCCACTAAACAGTGCCACAGGATGTCCACCTGCTCCAGACTCAACCCTGACACACACACACACACAGGCAGGATATTAATATAGAGTGATTCTCACATGCAGTGGTGTGTGAGAGATAAAGAGAGATGCTCACTGAAGTGGTCAGGTGATCCGAGCGTTGAGAACACACAGGTGAGGAACTGCAGACGCACCTGCACCTCCGCACTGTGACTGTACCTGAGACACACGGGGTGTTAACACAGCACTTCATACACACAATTCAGACAAAACATTGTTTTTTCTTACAGAAATTAAGATTTTTATTCAGCAAGGATGCATTAAATTGATCAAAAGCGACAGTAAATACATTTATAATGTTGCAAAATTTTTGAATTTTTTTTTTAAAACAACTGTTTTAACGTTGATAAGAACTAAAAATGTTTCTTGAGCAGCAAATCAGCATATTAGAACGATTGCTGAAGGATCATGTGACACTGAAGATTGGAGTAATGATGCTGAAAATTCAGCTTTGATCACAGCAATAAATTACATTTTAAAATATAATCAAATAGAAAACAGGTCTTTTAAATTAATTAAAATAATATTCCACAATATTAGAGTTTTACACAATTTTTGATCAAATAAATGCAAGCTTGGTGAGAATTACGTTTCAAAAACACTGAAAAAAAATCGTACCGACCCCAAATTTTTTGAACAGTAATATAGAAATAAAGACACCAAACTTACAAAGCGAATTTGTGGCGCTGCTCTCTCACTTCCTGGATATAGTGTAACAGATCATCAAAAAAGAGCTTCATCATGTGCAGCTCCTTTTCCGCCCACCTGTAGCACAAAATTATCTGTAAAGTGTTCTTAAGTTCCACTTAATAACAACATGGAGAGCAGTGGTGGGCGGAGTTTCTTACATGGTTATCCAATGAGTGTCGTAGCTGGAGCCGAACTGCTGGAAGGTCCCAAAGAGCTTTGGCAGCAAACGCAAAGACACCACCACTGACCTGATGAACGCAAGCAGAAACAAAACAATGAAATATCTCCTACTGGACCTTAGAAAACCCCCAAACTCTTCAGCAATTTCCTACAGCACTTCATATATCTGTGATGGCCTCACCGGTGGTTGGCGAGGTTCTCCAGACAGCCATCGATGAAACGCATGCGGATCTGACGGTCAGTGAACCAGCAGACCAGAGAACACAACAGCTTCTCTGCCTCATTGATCAAGCCTTCCGACAGGTGGATCTAGTCACCAAGACAACACCAGAAACACATAAGAATCACAATCTAAATGTTAAACACTTCAAATAGTCTGCTGCGAGGTAAACATACCGCACTATCGTCCTGGACCAGGTCCCACAGAAGGGTGTTTCCGTTCTTGCAGACGTTGTCCAGGTTGATGTCGGTCACCGCGTGTGAAGAGTACTGATGTTTGTGCACTGCTGGACCTGGAGCAGAACATCAGACAGAAACTATCATGTGACTGTTGTTTAAAGTCAAATATGAGTTTTTGTAAAATGAACCGTAGAATCAACAACAGCAACCCCACTAGAGCACCCTAGAAACCATCAGAACAGTTGAGAAGTTGACGCTAGTTGCCGAAAGTCAGAGCTAGCCTGCAGATTTGAGTTGACAGTTTCCAAAGAAAATCACGTAGTGTATGATGGTCACAGACTCCGATTTGATATTAACATTTGTCAAGCATCTCCTAGCAACAAGGCATACATTTCTGCGTGAGTTTGATGTGATCAGAACGACTGCTAGAATATCATCCTCAGGCGTGTAGTGTATGCTGGCCAATTTTCCTTTGTCACCACTAATTACAAAGTCGGCAAGTATACGAAGCCTAGTGTTTAAAAATCTGTTCAGATTTTAAAAGTCGTGTAGTGTATTCCAGCCTTTAAACACAACAGAAACCTAGTAATGCTCTAGCAACCATCCAGAACACCCAAATTACCTTATAGCAACACTCTAGCAACTAGGGATACTCATATTGACCATTTAAATGCACAATATGTAAGATTTTTTTATTAAAATATCAAAAAAACACTAGAACAGCGTTATATATTTTGCTGCCTTGTGCCTTTAACCATTAATTGAAAGTAAGAATTTTACCCGATTTATACTATCAGTTAAACGGTTTAGAAGTTTTTTTGCCATGTTTTTTTCACAAATATTTTTAAGTTTGCTGCATGGAAAAAGAAAAAATAATGCTATGCATACAGTATTTGTTTACTCGAGGGCACGTGTCGACACGTGCAGCGTGCATGTTTTGCTGAGCAAGCACCTGCTTCCCCTTCACTTAGTTAACTGATGTAGGCTATCATCACGATCTCAGAAAGTTAATTAAAAATTATTAAAAAAGCTTTACACTGCACAATTAATCTCTTATTTTACATCACGTCTACACTTTCTTTGTTTTAATGAGAGAATTCGCGATCGTGCAGAACTTAGCAGAACACCGGCATTTTGGATGGGGTGAGTGGATTGCATTCATGAAATCAACAGATACGTCTGTGATTGGCTATATTGCTCAACGCTGCTGCAAACACGCCGTGAATAGAAACATATGGCCAGTAGATGAAAAGTCCCAAACCACAAATTGACGGGATTTTTGTGATGGTGTTTTTGCTGCGGGTCTAACAATTAGCAGGCAGCACTCCAGTATATCCGTACAGCATGTCGACATGTTACTTAAAGGGGTCATATGATGCTGCTAAAAAGAACATTATTTTGTGTATTTGGTGTAATGAAATGTGTTTACGCGGTTTAAGGTTAAAACATTATTTTCCACATACTGTACATTACTGTTTCTCCTCTATGCCCCGCCTTTCTGAAACGTGTCGATTTTTACAAAGCTCATTGGTCTGAAAAGCGAGGTGTGCTCTGATTGGCCAACTATCCAGTGCATTGTGATTGGCCCGGCACCAGCAACAATACTACAGCGAGAATAAAGGTTACGTCTTCATTCTTTGCGTGAACATTTGGGCGGCGTTATGCAAATCTTCCCACATCGTGACGTAGATATGTGGGGGCGTGTTAGAACGAGCCCTTTTAGGTAGGCGTGGTTGACTCTTAACTTTTATAAAGAATATCTCTTTGGATTTGAGACTTTAGTCTTCGCAACTTTACAGATCTTCTTTATGCACCAAGAGCTTGTCTCGTTGCCCATGGCCTCCGTCAGGAAGTCTGCCGGTCGAGGCATGCAGGCTGGCTCCTGGGAAACAGACGCTCCGTGTGAGGAGCCCATCTCTGTGCCGCCCTGCTGAGGTTGCTGGGGGTTCTGGGATTGGGAATGTGAGGAGGGATCAGCCTGCTCTCCTGACGTTTCCTCCAGGCACATGGATGAAGAAGAACAAGGCTCAAGGATCCTAAGGGAAGACGAGGCTACCATGGCAGCGGCTGCCTCGGGGGTGAAGGGAATGGATTTGGTTTTGGAAAGTCCGGGAGTGGAGGCGATGGAGCCGGGAATGCCGGGTGGAATTCCGGGTCGCTCCGGAGGACCCTGGACCTCTCCGAGCGCTTCGCCGGCTTTACGTTTGCGCAGCTCTGATGTAGACGGCTCCCTGGAGTCTCGGGTTTCTTTCTGAGGGCTGCCCTCGGAGGCGACAGCTGGCCTGTCGTCTTCATCGTCCTCATCGTCGTCTTCATCATCCTCGTCGTCATCCTCTTCTTCTTCCTCCTCCTCTTCCTCTTCCTTCAGGGCCTCGCTGTCAGCCATGTCGTCGGAGTGCAGCTCGCTGCCCGGGCTGCCTGCTGATTGGCTGGCTCGGCTGGATCCAGCCTCATTGCTGGACGCCTCGCTGCGGCCGCTGCTACTGCCCTCCTCGCCGCTGTTGGCCGTCTCGTCTGAACTGCCCTGCAGAGACTCCTGCGGAACGGGAAAAAAACACTCAAATGAAGCTGAGTGACATCTGTTTTCAAATCATATTTTGGAAAATGCGTTACCTCCGTGTCCGACAGCCTCTGCTGCCCTCGCTTTCCACTGCTCATGATTGGCTCGTCCATCTCCATGTCACTTCCTCCACTGTGATGCGTGTCGCTGTTGTCACTGCTCTCCGGGCTTCCTGCAGGAGAACCTGGGGGGAAATTAAAATACCATTTTAACAAAAAACTGGCTACACTAAGATCCTGGGAGCTGAACCATAGTTACTCATTTTAGCTAAATAAATGAGTAAAAAAATACATACAATTATATCTCTATAAACTCTTTATAGATGATAATCTGAGCCAATTGTGAAAAATATATAAATAAAACATTTTAACAGAAGCTTTACACTGACATGATTATCTGAGCTACTGTGGATGGATGGATAGATAGATAGATAGATAGATAGATAGATAGATAGATAGATAGATAGATAGATAGATATGAACTCAGGATTTGAACTTGGGACGCCCAGAACGCAATGGAGTCATATGTCGGCACACTGCACACCAAAAACTAAAATTATGTATACTCGGATGCATATCTGAACCACAGGGGCTAAATAAATAAATAAACAAACAAACAAAATACAATTCCTGGACTCTGATCTAAATTTAACAGAATAATTAAAAAAAACTCAGAATACACAAAAACCAACTTCAAACGGAGAAATTTCAATCTTAATTCTTTGGCATGCACATCAAAAAAAGCTGATGACAAACACAACACACCTTTCTTGTTGCCCATGGGAATGTTGGTGTTGAGCAGGGAGGCGAAGGAGCTCTGTTTGGACAGCTGAGTTTTGGCTGCCAAAGCGTTATTCCACAAGGCCTTGATCAACATGGACGCCAAATACAGTGTCTACACAAGCAGAGAAACAACTCAACAACCACATACTGGATAGCCAGGTAAGTTTTAGTCTGTTTCAAAGTATGTTAGTGAGAGCAGGCATCTAGTTTTGTATATGACTAAACTGGCTGTGTGTAACTCTTATGTGTGGATGTGGTCTGAGAACGTGTGTTACCTGTTCGGTGTGTGCGCTGGGGTGTAACCCTGACACCAGACTGAGCACGTGCCGCAGAGGAACAGGGTCCAGGTTCTTTATGAGTGAGGGGAACAGGTCATGGATGTAGCGACTGCAGTGTTTCAGCTAAAAACAGAGACAGAGAGGCCATTTCAGCACTACTGTATGAGGAAATAAATGAGAATCAAAGGCCGAACAGAGAAAGAGTGTCTGTGCTCTTGTTTCCCCACTATGATCAAAAGTAAACTTTAAAATGTAATAAAATCTCTACAACTGACTTGTGAGGACAAACATAACAGATAAAATATAGATATGTAGTAATGGCTCTACTGGAAATTGGAAAGAAAAAATTGCTTGCAGTATTATTTATATTACTATTTTGAATGAGCTTTTATTTCTATATTTGTGGTTTGCATGATAATTTTAGTTTATGTTTTAGTAATTTTATTATGTGCTCTTGTCATTTTAATTAGTTGTGTTTTTAACATTTCTATTTAGCTTTCCGTTTTAAATTCAGTAATTTAAGTATTTTTTTTAATTGTATAACATTTTATATATATATATAATGTCCATTATAATAAAATAGTTTATACTTCTGTTGCATTCATCACATTAAAAGTGTGATATATATTGAAAATAAATGTAATAATAATAATAATAATAAGACTTCCAAAACACTTTATTTGCTCACAAAACTGGATTAAAAATGCAAATGAAATATTTTTATTTCTGATAGGATAATTGAATGTTTCAAAATGTTTCTTGTCACACACAATGTAAGTGTTGTTACTGTTAAATAAAACCTACTATCCCACAGCATTGTGGGATCAAGTGTTACTTACAGTGTGCTCTGATAATTTACTGCACATTTTTACAAATTTATGCTATGCAAAAAATGTGAAATTCATGTGAAATTAGTTTTTGTGTGTGTGTGTGTGTGTGTGTGTGTGTGTCTGAGGGCTGCCCTCGGAGGCGACAGCTGGCCTGTCGTCTTCATCGTCCTCATCGTCGTCTTCATCATCCTCGTCGTCATCCTCTTCTTCTTCCTCCTCCTCTTCCTCTTCCTTCAGGGCCTCGCTGTCAGCCATGTCATCGGAGTGCAGCTCGCTGCCCGGGCTGCCTGCTGATTGGCTGGCTCGGCTGGATCCAGCCTCATTGCTGGACGCCTCGCTGCGGCCGCTGCTACTGCCCTCCTCGCCGCTGTTGGCCGTCTCGTCTGAACTGCCCTGCAGAGACTCCTGCGGAACGGGAAAAAAACACTCAAATGAAGCTGAGTGACATCTGTTTTCAAATCATATTTTGGAAAATGCGTTACCTCCGTGTCCGACAGCCTCTGCTGCCCTCGTTTTCCACTGCTCATGATTGGCTCGTCCATCTCCATGTCACTTCCTCCACTGTGATGCGTGTCGCTGTTGTCACTGCTCTCCGGGCTTCCTGCAGGAGAACCTGGGGGGAAATTAAAATACCATTTTAACAAAAAACTGGCTACACTAAGATCCTGGGAGCTGAACCATAGTTACTCATTTTAGCTAAATAAATGAGTAAAAAAATACATACAATTATATCTCTATAAACTCTTTATAGATGATAATCTGAGCCAATTGTGAAAAATATATAAATAAAACATTTTAACAGAAGCTTTACACTGACATGATTATCTGAGCTACTGTGGATGGATGGATAGATAGATAGATAGATAGATAGATAGATAGATAGATAGATAGATAGATAGATAGATAGATAGATAGATATGAACTCAGGATTTGAACTTGGGACGCCCAGAACGCAATGGAGTCATATGTCGGCACACTGCACACCAAAAACTAAAATTATGTATACTCGGATGCATATCTGAACCACAGGGGCTAAATAAATAAATAAACAAACAAACAAAATACAATTCCTGGACTCTGATCTAAATTTAACAGAATAATTAAAAAAAACTCAGAATACACAAAAACCAACTTCAAACGGAGAAATTTCAATCTTAATTCTTTGGCATGCACATCAAAAAAAGCTGATGACAAACACAACACACCTTTCTTGTTGCCCATGGGAATGTTGGTGTTGAGCAGGGAGGCGAAGGAGCTCTGTTTGGACAGCTGAGTTTTGGCTGCCAAAGCGTTATTCCACAAGGCCTTGATCAGCATGGATGCCAAATACAGCGTCTACACGAGCAGAGAGACACCTCAACAAACACATACTGGATAGCCAGGTAAAAATACAGCTATTTTAGTCTATTTCAAAGTATGTTAGTGAGAGCAGTCATCTATATGACTAAAGTGACTGTGTGTAATTCTAAGATGTGCAGATACAGTGGGAGAGCGTGTGGTACCTGTTCAGTGTGTGCGCTGGGGTGTAACCCTGACACCAGACTGAGCACGTGCCGCAGAGGAACAGGGTCCAGGTTCTTTATGAGTGAGGGGAACAGGTCATGGATGTAGCGACTGCAGTGTTTCAGCTAAAAACAGAGACAGAGAGGCCATTTCAGCACTACTGTATGAGGAAATAAATGAGAATCAAAGGCCGAACAGAGAAAGAGTGTCTGTGCTCTTGTTTCCCCACTATGATCAAAAGTAAACTTTAAAATGTAATAAAATCTCTACAACTGACTTGTGAGGACAAACATAACAGATAAAATATAGATATGTAGTAATGGCTCTACTGGAAATTGGAAAGAAAAAATTGCTTGCAGTATTATTTATATTACTATTTTGAATGAGCTTTTATTTCTATATTTGTGGTTTGCATGATAATTTTAGTTTATGTTTTAGTAATTTTATTATGTGCTCTTGTCATTTTAATTAGTTGTGTTTTTAACATTTCTATTTAGCTTTCCGTTTTAAATTCAGTAATTTAAGTATTTTTTTTAATTGTATAACATTTTATATATATATATAATGTCCATTATAATAAAATAGTTTATACTTCTGTTGCATTCATCACATTAAAAGTGTGATATATATTGAAAATAAATGTAATAATAATAATAATAATAAGACTTCCAAAACACTTTATTTGCTCACAAAACTGGATTAAAAATGCAAATGAAATATTTTTATTTCTGATAGGATAATTGAATGTTTCAAAATGTTTCTTGTCACACACAATGTAAGTGTTGTTACTGTTAAATAAAACCTACTATCCCACAGCATTGTGGGATCAAGTGTTACTTACAGTGTGCTCTGATAATTTACTGCACATTTTTACAAATTTATGCTATGCAAAAAATGTGAAATTCATGTGAAATTAGTTTTTGTGTGTGTGTGTGTGTGTGTGTGTGTGTGTGCGCGCACCTGAGCTGCGGCCCATATACAGTCTACATGTTGAGTGCTCAGCCTGCCCTCGGCTGCCAGGAAGTTCAGGATCACTTGGCACTGTTTAATGATCTACAGCAGAAACAAGACGTGCACAATCAGAAATAATAAACCTTTAGTCAGCGTCCAAAGAAACTATGAAAGTCTACTGGACTCACCTCAATGTGCAAATTTGGTCCAAATATGTGCTCTACAACATTGTTGTTGATGAGCCAATCAGCGAGTTCCTTTGCTATCGACCTAAAAGAGGAAAGAAAGATGTCAATACACATCAAGATTGACTGAACTACTGAAACCAGTGGACTCGTAACACTCACGTCTCAGTGTCAGACACCAGGGACTCGTTATTACAGACGTCATTGAAGGTGTGCAGCTGATTCTACAGGAACACAAGCACAGATCATTCAACACCGGCTGGAGACAATGGAAGAAGAGTTCTTGTGTTTTTGTGTCTCGTACCGTGATCTGGCTCAGGCCGGCCAGTCTCATAGTGAGCGTTGGACTCATGAAGTATTTGAAGGCCAGATCCAAACTCTCTCTGTCAAAACACAGCGCGCTGTCCAGCGGCTCCTTCACCGTGCTCCACATCAGATCGGCCATGTTACGCGCCGCGCTCTGACGCAGCTCCTGATCCGACAAATTACACAGATACCTATAGACAGAGATTCATATGTTAGGTGTGACTGCATGAGTCAGGTGCATAAAAACAACTGATCACAAAGGGTCATCCACCTAGAATAGCCCACTTCAAAATGACAGGCTGACAACTCAAAAGCATTGCTGTAACTGCAATTTAGATTTGTTTTTTCAAACTGAGGGACTAGTTAAAAGTATTTTCTAATCAGTAGCACGCTTAACTTGTATTAAACCTGAAGCATTCTTTTCAGGATATGTATCAAAAATCCCTTTGTATTTATAAAGGCTAACAAACAAAAGCTTAAACAAAATCGAGCAAAATGACAGAGCATTTCAGTGGCTTGACAATTACATTTACAAAACAATGTTTTTCAAAAAACTATAGCAATATAATGTAATTTGTTACATAATAGCAGTTTGATTTCCAGTTTTTTTCACTGTTATTTCTTTTATTTCAAAGTTTCCTTTTGCAAAGGAAAAACAAACAAACATAATATTTAATAAAAAAAATGTATGTGTGTATCATACATGATCAATTGTACAGTATCTAAATGTGCAGAATTGTATATAATTGTATAACATATAACATAACATAAATAATATATCTGTCCAGTCTTTTTGAAGTGAGTTCAAATTCAATTCAGTAGATTTGTATAAAATGTAGTGCTGTCAAGCGATTAATCATGATTAATCGCATCCAAAATAAAAGTTTTTGTTTACATAATATATGTGTGTGTACATTGAGTTATTTTTTTATTTTATGTATTTTATGTTTATATAAATACACACACATGCATGTATATATTTTGAAAATATTTACATGTATATATTTATATTAATATTATTTATATTACAGATAAATATATTTAATATATAAACATTTTTCTTAAATATATACATGCATGTGCTTGCATTTATATATACATAATAAACATACACAGAACACACACATATATTATGTAAACAAAAACTTTTATTTTGGATGCGATTAATCGCTTGACAGCACTAATTAAAATGTAATAATATAATGGTGGTTTTGACTACTTTTCAAGATGGATGAATATTTACAATTTAATAATACATAACATGATACAGAAATAAAAAAAAAACTGGATGTTTCCGTGTGAATACACTAATACACTCTCTCTCTCTCTCTGAGCTGCTCTAATACTGTCTGGCTCGAGTCACATGACCAGCACTCTCTCAGCTCCCCTGCCAGCCGTCTGGCTCCCCCCAAGGTCATGTGAGGAGAGCCGTGGTGACTGTTGCTATGGTGAGGGATGCTCTTCCTAGCAACTCAGCAGAGAGCAGACTCTTTATATCTCTCAGTCAATCAGTCAGGATCGATTAGATGAAACACATATTCCTGATATTCTGATATTAATTCAGATATTCCACTTGGCAATTAAGGTTTAGGTCCAGTTCAGAAAGGTGTTCTTACCTGATAACGTATGTGCGAAAAGGGATGATGTGCTGCATCACAGCGGGAATGTGCAACCATATTCTGATCTGTACACACAGAAGAATAACCTCTGATTGGTTACGGGTCTAACAAGTCAGACTCTGGTTAATTTGACTAGGTTTGTTTGACTCACGTTAGAGACGATGGTGATGAAGGCATGTGCGATGGGGAAGGGGAGAGTGTCAGGAGCGCCGAACTCAAAGCAGTCCTTCATCAGAGAGAGGCCGTGCTTCCCGCAGAACATACACACATATCGCAGCAGATGCAGAGGGACCTCCACATCCTGAAACACACACACACACACACAATATAATCCCTTAAAGCACACCCAAATCATTTTCCTAAATTATGCCCCCCAAAAAAGCACTCTTTATCTCAACAGCATGATTGTGTGGTCACATGACCAAATGAGTTTAATCAATATATTCTTCAGAAGATCTCACTGACTGGCCAATCACGAGTGAGACTGACAATGACTTCTCCAGAAAACTATTTTTATGCAAATTAATGCACTGAATTGAATGGTTTTATGAATAGTTTACACAGAAACTCATTCAGCCTGTATTTCATTAATAACGCACAAAAAACCTCGAGTCTTCGAGCTGTTCTTATGACTTAACATATATTACATTATATTGTATGTATATATTACATTATATTATATGACTAACAGATATTGTCATGTGACTATATGACTGTCACATTAAAGTAAACATGATGTATGAAAACCATATGTGATCTAGTATCTTTCAAAAATACTAATCAATTATACAATAATCAAAAAATATACTTAAGTGATATACTAAATTGCTGTAATAATATAATCACAACAATACACTATATATATATATATATGATGTGACTATAATATTAGATTATTTTATATTATAAGACTAACATATTGTATTTTTTAAAAAACATTATATATAGCAAACATGGTGTACGAAGACCATATCTTAACTAGTACTAAAATCATAACATTATTAATACAATAATAGAATCATATATAGTCATATAATTACAAGACAAGTGTCCTTTTAAGTAATATAATAAACCGTTGTAATAAATATAATAATCACAACATTAATATAATATAATAATGATCATTAATATTATAAAATATTATTATTGCATGTCAAGTTTAATTATTATTTGTATTAAAATAAAGTGCACATGTTGTGTGGAAAAATATTAAATATTATTTCATACTTTGCACACAATTCAAGCAAAGACTGAGAAATAATAAACAGATAATCAAAACAGTTGCAGGCAAGACTTTTTACAGGCTTCAAAAAAATGCCAAGATGTGAGTCTTTTTTTATATGACCTCAAAGGAGCTTTGGAAAGCATCCTTATATAGAGTTTGAGTATGAATAGTTTGTATTTAATTACTAAAGCCTGTGATGATTCATGGGCGCAGATGAATCACGCTAGCCGACGTCTAAACAAGGAGGGAACATCTTGTACTTTAACACACAGGACACACCTAGCTGTGATCTCAGAGTCAGTTAAATCTAGTCCTGCTCCATTCACTCAGCATCTATTGTGGTCATGAAGTATCTCTAAATGGTGTAATCAAGACCATCATAATGAGTGTGTGTGTGTGAGAGAGAGAGAGAGAGAGAGAGAGAGAGAGAGAGAGAGAGAGAGAGAGAGTGATATTGAAAATCATGATTCGGAGAGCAGCATCTATTGTGGTCATGAAGTATCTCTAAATGGTGTAATCAAGCCCATCATAATGAGTGTGTGTGAGAGAGAGTGAGAGAGAGAGAGAGAGAGAGAGAGAGAGAGAGAGAGAGACTTACATTCATATCACAGAAAGAGCCGAGGATATTGCTCTCTTGTGCCGAGATATCCTGAAGACAAAAACAACAAACAGATATTTAAAAAAGACAGCGACCCAAATAAAATCATACTCAACTTTTCAACAGAAAACAGCTTCTATTTTTGTCTTGAGGATTTGTTGAGGTTATTCAGTTCATCCAAATCATTCAGCAATAATTATGCACTAACTGGAAGAGCGTAATATACATACATAACACTTATGTTATGTGTATATTGCTTCTGTTGAGCCCAAATGGTAGGTTGGCAAAGTAAAAATGCTTTCAAAACTTCCAGAGCAAACGTTTTACCAATAAATTAGGAACAGGCACAAGTACTCAGTACTAACAACAATGATCAGATTTTACATGCACTTGAAAAATCAGATTTAGGTCATTTGTCTTTTTAAAATGTTAAAATGATTGTAGCCCAGCTTCGTTTTGTACATATGCGTAACTATTACAACTGGCCTTGACGTTGTGAGCTTGCTCTGAAAGACAAAAGTGATGTGTGATGTGCATTTAATCCATCAAATATTCGATTACGCACACTTGTACACGTGCACACTTGAGCAGCAGTCTTTATCGGTCATTCTGACTAAACAATAACCTGATTACAACTGCACATGTAAATGAACTTAACTGCATGACTGAAAAGCAATAACATCTAAAAAAGGAGCATCACAAGCAGAGCATCTTTTAATTTTGGGATTTTTCAGGCATCATTTTTGGTAAAGCAACCTTGAAGAGAATCAAATGAATCAATATGATTCATATCGAAGCTGGTTATTTGGGATAATGGCTTAAAATTTTATGCATTAAATGAAAATTTCATAAATGCATGTACTAGATCTTATTGTGAACTATTAAAGAGGTCATGAACTGAGAAATATAAATTCCCTTGATCTTTTGACATATAAGAGGTCATTGTACTATAAAAAGCATCCTCTAAGTTTTAGAACTAAAAACTTTCTTGTTAGTCTAAAAACAGCTTATATTGAAGGCAGTCTGTCAAAACGACAGCTTGTGTGTGGCTAGTGTGGCTAAGAACTGCCTCCGCAGAAGATCATCAACGCCTGCTTCTACATCGCTGCCTGTTTAGCCCCGCCCACCAATTTGCATATGTAGTGTTTACGAGAGAGGCGAATGAGCAGGTCTTCACAGAAACCAAACGATAAAGATGGCTCTGAAAACAACAAGACGCTGTGCAGTGCCAAGCTGTGGAAACACAGTCTTTGCATTGCCTTCATTCTGTTCTGATCCCAACATTAGGAAAGAGTGGATGAACTTTATTTTTTAATGAAGATCCAGACCGTCAGTAAGAACTCGGTCCTTTGTTCACTTCAATTTACTGAGGCTTCCTTTACAAACGAAGCACAATTTGACAGGGGATTTCCAGAAATTTTGAAACTAAAAGACGATGCTGTGTCGACTATATTGGATCTGACGGTAATATCGCAACACACAAGTGTATGCAACTGATTTTATTATGTGCTCACTATTGCTTTGTCTGTTAAACAGATCGTTTGAAATGCGTTTTTAACCTAAATCACAGCAGCGTCCATCTGTGTAAGATGTGCACTGTCAAACATACACAACTATTAGCCAATCATAGCAGTGGGCGTTTATTTCCAAATCCACAATCCACCACGCCTATTCAAACAGAGCGTTCTGATGAGGGGGGTCAAAAACAGAACACAAAATCGCTTATTACTTCTAAATTATTACGTTTCTTTTATTTAAAAATCTTTATAACATTATAAGGGGACCTCAGAGAACAGTACAAAATAATAAAAAGGCAGTTTACGTCCCCTTTAATCCATGAATGTTTCTTTTTTTTTTTTTTTGACCTTGTTAGATGTTTTAACTGAATCTATGAGTCAAAGGATACATTTTGGTGACGTATAGAGACTTCTCCAATCATTTCATCTGCTTTTGACCTTGTTAGATGTTATAACTGAATCTATGAGTCAAAGGATACATTTTGGTGACGTATAGAGACTTCTCCAATCATTTCATCTGCTTAAACCCTCCACAATTGAGTGCAAGCTTGAGTGCAATGCCAAGTCTCCAACATCTCAAAATCCAATCCACAATTGGAACTTTAAAGGCCTCAAAAAAACCTCAGAATCCAGACTGTTGAAAACTATTTCCTATATGAGCGAGTATTACCTCTATAGTGGCGTGTGTGTTGTGTTTGTAGGCCGTGTACAGGGGGAACTGGATCTGAAAGATCTTGGCAGCACACAGCAGCAGTTTCTCCTGGTCTTCTGTGCTCCAGGATGCAAACGGGTCCAGGCTGCTCTCGTTCCCGCTCTCGCCCCCCGTGGGTTCACTGAGCTTGTCAGTAAGAACTCGGTCCTTTGTTCACTTCAATTTACTGAGGCTTCCTTTACAAACGAAGCACAATTTGACAGGGGATTTCCAGAAATTTTGAAACTAAAAGACGATGCTGTGTCGACTATATTGGATCTGACGGTAATATCGCAACACACAAGTGTATGCAACTGATTTTATTATGTGCTCACTATTGCTTTGTCTGTTAAACAGATCGTTTGAAATGCGTTTTTAACCTAAATCACAGCAGCGTCCATCTGTGTAAGATGTGCACTGTCAAACATACACAACTATTAGCCAATCATAGCAGTGGGCGTTTATTTCCAAATCTACAATCCACCACGCCTATTCAAACAGAGCGTTCTGATGAGGGGGGTCAAAAACAGAACACAAAATCGCTTATTACTTCTAAATTATTACGTTTCTTTTATTTAAAAATCTTTATAACATTATAAGGGGACCTCAGAGAACAGTACAAAATAATAAAAAGGCAGTTTACGTCCCCTTTAATCCATGAATGTTTCTTTTTTTTTTTTTTTTGACCTTGTTAGATGTTATAACTGAATCTATGAGTCAAAGGATACATTTTGGTGATGTATAGAGACTTCTCCAATCATTTCATCCGCTTAAACCCTCCACAATTGAGTGCAAGCTTGAGTGCAATGCCAAGTCTCCAACATCTCAAAATCCAATCCACAATTGGAACTTTAAAGGCCTCAAAAAAACCTGTTGAAAACTATTTCCTATATGAGTGAGTATTACCTCTATAGTGGCGTGTGTGTTGTGTTTGTAGGCCGTGTACAGGGGGAACTGGATCTGAAAGATCTTGGCAGCACACAGCAGCAGTTTCTCCTGGTCTTCTGTGCTCCAGGATGCAAACGGGTCCAGGCTGCTCTCGTTCCCGCTCTCGCCCCCCGTGGGTTCACTGAGCTTGGGCTTGGGATCCGGTTTGACCCCCTGAATTTGGTTCTTGTGCTGATCTCCATCCTCCACTCCACCATCTTCTTCAGCTGAGTCCCGTTCCACATTCAGTGGCTCATCCTCACTGGGCGACAGCTGTGGCTGGGCGGAGCCCCATTCAGACACCCCCTCAGTCCTAGTGTTGCCATGGCCACTGTGTAGACCGTCCCTAAGGTTGGTTACTTGGGCAATGACCAAGTTAATGAGGGCATAAACCAGTTGGCTGAACACCTCGAGGTGTTTGTATTCCTTGAAACAGCACAGACACTGCCTGCAGATGAACACGGAAAGAATCGGTCGTCAGCCCATCATTTACAACATTGTTTATGAAATATTTTGGCTACTTTAACGTTGCTATCAGCTACCAAGGAGATCGTAGTACACTCAGTTCTGTTTAACACACTTGACAGAGTTTAAATCCAATCCAAACACCACAAAACATGAATTCATGAAAAAACGTCGATGATGACAAAGAAAACAACAATATGATGGGGTAGAGAATGAATGAATGAATGAATGAATGAGCAAGTCAGTGAGCAAATGAGCATAAATAAATGAACGAATTAGTGAGAGAATGAGAATAAATGAATGAGCGAATCAGTGAGTGAATCAGTAAGCGAGTGAGAATGCATTAATGAACGAGTCAGTGAGCGAATGAGAATGAATGAATCAGTGAGTGAATGAGCATGTGATTGAACAAGAGAATGAATGAATTAGCAAGTCAGTGAGCAAATCAGTAAGTGAATAAGAATGAATGAATGAATCAGTGAAAGAATGAGAATGTATGAATAAGTGAGTCAGTGAGCAAGTCAGCAAGCAACTGAGAATGAATGAATAAGCCAATTAGTGAGTGAAAGAATGAGAATGAAAGAATAAGCAAATCAGTAAGCAAATGAATGAATGAGCAAGACAGTGAGTGAATGAGAAATGAGTGTGCGAATCAATGAATAAATGAGGGCGTGAATCAGAGACAGAATGAAACCAGTATGAATGAGCAAGTTATTGAGTGAATCAGTGAGCAAATGAGAATTAATCAATGAGCAATTCAGTGAGTCATACAGAATAAATGAATGAGTGAATCAGTGAACAAATTAGTATGCAAATCAGTAAGCAAATCAGGGAGCGAATGAGAAAAAATGAATAAATAAATACAGTGAGTGAGTAGACAAGGGAATCAATGAATGTGTCAGTGAATGAATCTGCAAGCAATTGAATGAGTGAATGAATGAATGCACGACAGACTGCAGTGAGTGAATGAATGACAAATGACTGATTGTTTGAGTAATAGGTTAGGAATAAACATCCGAGTGAGTGAGAAGTCAATGAGGGAATGAGTTCTGAGGGAATGCATGAGTGAATTAACTGGACATACGAGCAATTGAGAAATGAACCAATAAACATTTAAACAAACCAATCAAGGAATGAATGAGTGTATGTTTAAAAGCGTTAATGAATTGAATATGCGAATGACTGAGTTCTGACCTCTGTGTCCATGTGCTGATGTAAGTGAAGACTCTTAAGGCATGCTCCTTCTTCAGCTGCAGGCCGTCTGAGCTGTCTGCATCCGAGACTGAGACACACACACACAGACGGAGAAAGAAAGCTGTTAATGAACTGGCTACAGGGTTCTAGAGCTCTCTGGGATCAGATCAATGCTAGAGACACAGCAAATGCTGAACGACGACTTACACACCAAGGTTTAATACTTCATGTCAGAGATTTTTCCAAATTATTAAGCAAGAGAAACAGTAATACAGCACAAAAAAAATTTTAATCTGTGAAACAACCCATGGCACTCATGGTACATCAAATGAAAACCAGTGAAACTGGCAGAGAACAGTCAAGACAGAACATCCTGTCCTAGACAGCACTCTCACGCTGTAAAAAATTTGTCATTTTAATAGTAAAAGACTGTAGAAATGCTACAGCGAAAACCAGTTAACTGGTTTATGAAAATACACTGAAAATCTGTAATTACTAATGAGACATTTTACAGCACCATTGCTGTTTAATGTACAGCTGACACTCCCAAAATTCCCTGTGTGACAAATTTGAGTTTTTTTAATTTATTTTTTTTAAATAAATGTTTCTGGCTACTTTTTTCATAACAGTTAGGCCTATGTGCATTAGGGGCTTTGTTTAATCCTGTGTTAAATAAATACTTACAGCGTGTTTTAATGAGTGTTACCATGATGGCGTTTTGTGTTAGTGACATTTTGCACCTTCTATATAGGAGTATTCACATTACTCATGCTCATACAGATGATCACGGTACTGTAATTTGCAGGACCTTAACATCCATTTAGGTGCTCTATCCTGACAAACCACACACACACACACAGAGCACAATTAATGGTTTCCACAGTGACGAGGGAGTTGCTGGACTCGGGAATGCTACCTTGGGGTTGTAAAGTTCACTCGAGCAGCTGGTTAGCCTTGACCTACATGAGATTTTCGTTCTTTCTCTCTGTAAAACGGCTTTCCTGTCTTTTTTTTCTCTGCCGTTTCCACACAGCTCTACAGTAACAAACCAGGGCATTGTGTTCAAGGACTGAGAAACAGTTTGACAGCACTGTGATATGAGGATCTGTTATCAAAGCTGAAAACTCAAAACCACAAAAGCACCAAAAATCCCTCAAAGTCTCACGGCGCAGGAAAAAAAGTAAAACTGCACACACAGACTGATTGAATCACAGTATTCAGTTCTTTTCATGAGAAAAACAGTCCGACCTTAATGACTAATAGGAATAATTCACCCAAAAAGGACATTCTGTCATCATTTACTTGCCTTCGTGTTGTTCCAAGACTTTATTTCTCCTATGGAGAAATAAAAACTTAATTTCTCCTGTGGAACAGAAAAGAAGATATTTTGAAGAATGTTCATGCTGCTCTTTTTTCATATAGCTGTACTACAAAAATGACAAAATGTACCATAAATAAGTCTTAAAGTCTTAAATAAATAAGTTTTTTGCTTGTTGTGCAATGATTTGCTGATTTGAATATGCAAAACACAAACAACATACAAGAGCTTGAATAGAGGAGAAGATTTTTAGCAAATGACAACTTGAATTTTGTCTGTTCCTCGCACAAAGCTATCATATGACTTGAAATATAGCTACCTAGACTACTTTTACACTGCATTTTTTAAAATCCTTTTTAAAGATTCAAAGCTCCTGGTTACTGTATCTTTGCACTTAAAAGAGCAGCATGAACATTCTTTAAAACATCTCCTTTTGTAGTTCACAGAAGAAAGCAAGGCATATGGGTTTGGACTGGAGCATCATGAGGATGACTTAATAATGACAAAGATCTCTTTAATAGAAGAACTTTTCAAATCTAGTTAAAATGCCCTGTGATTCATATCTTTTTATGATGTCTGGCACAACTGGTTTAGTGACTGTCTGTCTGTTTTTGACCTTTCAGAAAATGTGAAATTACAGAGTGTGCATAAACAGACTTCTGCTGACACACACACACACACACACACAATGAAATATAGGAAATATTGATGTTTAATATTAAATTTGTGCATGTAAAAAGTGCAATTATTAAAGCATGCTTAAATGATTTATAATATTAAATTATATATTAAAAATAAATGTGATGATAATTATATAGATACTTTTACCATATAGTCTGGCTCTTTTATCATCCAGCCCTATTAGTTGCTACCAAATAATACCAAATTGTTGGCACCCATGATTCTTGTTTACGCAACACCATCGTCTTCCAGCAACAGAACCTGCTGTCATATGGTGCCGACAAACATAATTCTACACATTTCAAATGCAAACACTTGCACAAAAATCACATGGAAATAAAACAATTACATTCACGCTACGTGCAATAAGATGATCTAACACTTCAGTAACAAGCGATGACAGCACTACAGGTGAGATTTTCATTTCATGGGGGAAGTCGTGGCCTAATGGTTAGAGAGTCGGACTCATAACCCAAAGGTTGTGGGTTCGAGTCTCGTACCGGCAGGGATTGTAGGTGGGGGGAGTGAATGTACAGCGCTCTCTCCCACCTTCAATACCACGACTGAGGTGCCCTTGAGCAAGGCACCGAACCCCCAACTGCTCCCCGGGCGCCGCAGCATAAATGGCTAAATGGCTAAAAAAACACCGTGTGTTCACGGTGTGTGTTCACTGCTGTGTGTGTGCACTTTGGATGGGATAAATGCAGAGCACGAATTCCAAGTATGGGTCACCATACTTGGCCACATGTCACTTCACTTTCACTTTTTCACTTTAATAGAATAAAAAAAAGCAAAGTCGCTTATAAGTTACTAGCAAAAAAAACCCCTCATGGTATGATTATGTTTTTTGAAGTTACTACACTAATGCCATGCATTTTGGTTATGATATGGTTTTTTACATTGTCATGGTAATTCAACTGTATTCCTTGGAGTAATATGGTATAGGCCTATCAATGCTGCACTCATTCATTACCATAATATATAACAAAATCCCACCTCCCATCATAACCTTTCCACCAAAGTATGTTTTTTTTGTTTTGTTATGTTTGTTTGGACTTTAACATGGCAATTTTAACATGTACTATGATATTGGTGTTTTATAATATGGTAACATTAAATACGGTTAAATTACTACCATAACGTAGAAAAACAAGATATTACTATCAACTATCGTTGTATATCAGCGTGGCAATCATTCAGTACAACCGTACATATTAAAGTACCAGCACAGTACCATGTTTTCAGGACTTTACCATGGTAATGCCATGTTTTCTGACATGTAGTATGGTGGTAAAATAGTCATGTTTTTTTGTGTGTGTGACTCATCATGGTAATTCAGCTGCATTCTTCAGAGTACTAGGTACATCAACACGACAATCATTCAGAACCACGGTATATATCAAAGTACAATATTATCTGATAGTACTAATGTTTCTGACATGCATCATAGTAATTTCATGGTATCTTTAAAGTATCATGCACACACTATGGTAAACCTTCAGTACACTGGTATATACCAAAGTACCATCTGACATTATAACTGTACCAGCAGAGCATTATGTTTTTTGGACTTTCCTATAGTGATGTGATGCTTTGGACATATATCATCACAGTAGTTCTTTCAAGTTTCATGCAAAAGCCATGGCAACCCTTCACTACAATGGTACATATCAAAGTGCCATGGTTTTACCACCAGTCACTGTCTCGCAAAGACAGCAGTGCCGAAGCAAAGAAAGCGCAATAATCCACATCACACTCTCTCCATCCAACAAAGCACACAAACACTGTCTGATTCCTGTCCAGCAGCCATCAGAGGGCCAAAGACTGCTACAAACTCACATCCCGACTGTCAGATCGCATGAACCCTCATGGATCACCTGCTCGAGCAGAATTACACTGCCGTGTGGATCGTGTTGGCTGATCAGATGTGGATCTGTGTGCATTTTGAAGGATGACAATGTCAAAAACACTTCTGCTTGGGCTAATGCTAATGCTAATGTCAGTCCAACTTCCCATCAGCCGCCAAGCATATTCAAACAAGCTGATGGCCAACGCACACATTAAGATGTTTTCTGATGTTTCTCTTCTTAATAAACAGCAGATTAATTTTGTAGCTGCTCTTGTTTGACGATTTAATTCTGAAATGATGAAGGGCTAACGCGTTCAGATAGCATTGCATTAATAAAAACAGGTATCAAAATCAAACAAGAGAGAAGTAGTGACAGCCAAAAGGTGCTTGAGCGCTCGTTTAAATGCACACGTTGACAAAAAGCGTGAAAGATGAAATACTAAACACGACGAGCTGCGCTGAATCGAGGCAGCGAGCCGCATGCTCGGACAGTCATGCTAACTTGCTGCAAACAACTACAAAAACACAACAAACGCACAAAAACCAAAGGCTGTTGACTTACTCTCATTGAGCACCTCCAGCAGCTCGGCGCAGTTCTCACACATGGTTCATAAAGGCGGAAAGTGTATTCAGACCATTGGAGAAATAAAATGTTGCCTGTTTTTCTCTCGGTCTTTTTAAGGGGGGTGTTTAAGGCCCGACGAAATGCTTGATGAAGGCTCGTTATTATGAGACAACACAACCAGGGAGGTTTGGGCTCGTGCAAGCGGGATTGTTTGCCGAAATGTCGAGGGTGGAGACAGTAAATGTGAGGCACTAAAGGAGCGGAGAGTCAGTCTCCGAGCAGAGCGTTACTGTGCAGACCAGCACATACGGCAGCCATGATGAACAGGGACGGAGAGTTACACTTCGGTTGTTTCCGTCGAGCAACTTCGGAAATGTTCGGGGGTTTCCGGGAATGTTCGCGATCGCTCGGAGGCAAGCGGGTAACGTTGTGCGAGACGTCGGCTGTTTCCGCCGAGTCGTCTTTGCAGGTCGTTCGGCCTTTTTCGGAACACTGGCAAAGAGAGAGGGAGGGGCGACCGTTTGTTACACATCGGCTGTTTTCGTTACGCCTGCTTCCGGCCCTTTTACGGAAATCTCGCGATGTCTCGCTGTCGAGCACGTGTGCGTGTGCTGTTTTAATTTTGATATGTGACCCTGGACCACAAAACCAGTCATGAGGGTCAATTTTTTAAAATTGAGATTTGTACATAATTTGAAAACTGAATAAATAAGCTTTCCATTGATGTATGGTTTGTTAGGATAGGACAACATTTTGATTTGGCTGAGATACAACTATTTGAAAATCTGGGCCCTCATTTATCAGCAGTGTGTATGCACAGATGTGTGCGTAATGAGTGCATAAACACAAATTCACGCCAAGTGTGTGATCTACAGTACCAACTTGTACTTAAATGTAGAAAATGAATGTGTAAATATAAGGAAAAACTATAGAACCTATTCTAAGCACTGTTGATAAATGAGGCCCCTGGAATCAGAGGGCGCAAAATAAATAAATATCCTTTAAAATTGTACAGATGAAGTCCTTAGCAATGCATATTACGAATCAAAAATTAAGATTTACGGTAGGAAGTTTACTAAAATTGAGATTTGTACATAATTTGAAAACTGAATAAATAAGCTTTCCATTGATGTATGGTTTGTTAGGATAGGACAACATTTTGATTTGGCTGAGATACAACTATTTGAAAATCTGGGCCCTCATTTATCAGCAGTGTGTATGCACAGATGTGTGCGTAATGAGTGCATAAACACAAATTCACGCCAAGTGTGTGATCTACAGTACCAACTTGTACTTAAATGTAGAAAATGAATGTGTAAATATAAGGAAAAACTATAGAACCTATTCTAAGCACTGTTGATAAATGAGGCCCCTGGAATCAGAGGGCACAAAATAAATATCCTTTAAAATTGTACAGATGAAGTCCTTAGCAATGCATATTACGAATCAAAAATTAAGATTTACAGTAGGAAGTTTACAAAAGATCTTCATGGAACATTATCTTTACTTAATATCCTAATGATTTTTGCTAATGAGTGCATAAACACAATTTCACGCCAAGTGTGTGATCAAACAACTTATATTTATATGTAGGAAATTAATGTGTAAATAAGGACAAAATATAGAACCTATTCTAAGCACTGTTGATAAATGAGGCCCCTGGAATCAGAGGGCGCAAAATAAATAAATATCCTTTAAAATTGTACAGATGAAGTCCTTAGCAATGCATATTACGAATCAAAAATTAAGATTTACGGTAGGAAGTTTACAAAAGATCTTCATGGAACATTATCTTTACTTAATATCCTAATGATTTTTGGCTTAAAAGAATAATAGTTAATTTTGACCCATACGATGTATTTTTGGCTATTGCTACAAATATACCCCGGCGACTTAAGACTGCTTTTGTGCTCCAGGGTCACACATCTGTACTGTATTACCTACACAAATCCTGTTTATCCTGCAAGTATTATGACAGTTATGGGTCGTAGATTAGATTATATATATATATGTGTGTATGTGTAATCATTTGCAAAGAGCTTGGGGTCATTAGAAGTTGAATTAAATAAAAGTTCCAGTAAAGACACATTATATAGATACATTACGAATAATTTATTGTAACACTTTATTCAAAGTATCCTGAAGAATGTCAGTTTCAACAAATATTAAGCGTATTAAATTTATCACTATCAATATTAATGAGGTACTCAACTCTAGTAAAGTATTATAGTAGCAAATTCAGACAAAATGTAAAAGTTTGCTAGTATATTTATAGAACTATATATATATTTTAATGTATTTAAATCAAAGTAATCAAGTTCTACAAGCTAAATGAAAACACACACACACACACACACACACACAATGCTTTGTAAAAATAACCAACAACGGTACGCACAATAGGTCAATATTCACTATAAACCAAACGCTTTTCACCCGTCTCAGCATCTCTCCCGGTTTACTCACTTACACTTTTAATCCATAATAGAGAGCGTGTCACACCTGCCTCAAGACCTTTTGGGGTATTGTCAAGAGGAAGATGAGAGACACCAGACCCAACAATGCAGATGAGCTGAAGGCCGCTATCAAAGCAACCTTGGCTTCCATACCACCTCAGCAGTGCCACAGGCTGATTGTCTCCATGCCACGCCGCACTGATGCAGTAATTGATGCAAAAGGAGGCCCAACCAAGTATTGAGTACATGTACAGTAAATGAACATACTTTCCAGAAGGCCAACAATTCACTAAAAATGTTTTTTTTTATTGGTCTTATGAAGTATTCTAATTTGTTGAGATAGTGAATTGGTGGGTTTTTGTTAAATGTGAGCCAAAATCATCACAATTAAAAGAACCAAAGACTTAAACTACTTCAGTCTGTGTGCATTGAATTTATTTAATACACGAGTTTCACAATTTGAGTTGAATTACTGGAATAAATGAACTTTTCCACGACATTCTAATTTATTGAGATGCACCTGTATAATCAACATTAATATTGATTAAAACCACATTTTGCACAACAACAAATGATTAATTACAGAGCATTTTATTACTATTAATAACGAATAATATTTAATTGATATTAAATGTTTAATAAATATAATAATTACTAAAATAATTTAGATCATTATTATTATTATTATTCACTATAAAATGATAGTAACAAAATTCTAATATCTAATTATTAAAAATCAATTATAAATCTATTCAAATATTAAAATACAAATATTTATATAAATTGAGGTGGGTATTTAACAAACACTGTGGCTATTGGGATAAAAGTGCATTTTCAACCCTGCATGTGTAGAACCCATTTATATTGTGAAAAGTCAATCTAGCAGGAAGGAAGTGACATACCTTGATCTGGACCAGGAAGTCCCTGAGGTGCTCTTTAAAGGCAGGAATGTCCTGATTCAAGCTGAACAGACCCGTGACAAACACCTTCACCTGGGCACTGAAAAGAAAAAAAAACACACAAAAAAACCCCAACATTAACATGACACCGGCAACACACTGAAAACACAATCCTCATGCTCTAGGCTGCTCTTACTCCTGCAGATGTGGGAAGGCCGTCTTCAGCAGACTGGCTACATACTCCTGCACATAGCTTTGATTGTTGCTCGTGGTGCCTGCGTTCAGAGTGACACTGATTTTACCCTCTTCCACCAGGTTAAACATGTAGGCGAGGATGGAGGCGTGCATCGTCAGACCTGCCCGGCACAAACCACAGAACATCCATCAGACACACACACACACACTGATTTTAACCTCCGAGTTAGTAATCTACAATATTTTGCTGCATTAAGTTTAAATCAGTATGAATTAAAGCATCACAATTTAAATGTTACACTTAAATAAGAAAGAGAGAAATGCACGCAACAATAATATCATCTTTAAAAAGAGATGTCAAAGCTAAAAAAAACAAATCCTATTTTCTTTACATTTTGCCTAAACTCCTGTTTTTTTCCTTTTCATTTCAGGTGGAAAATGACCTGATCAGCAGTGTTTGTGAGATACACTGCGTGACTGATGTGAAGCAGTTCTGTTCAAAATAACGGCTCCATTAGTTACGCCGAAAACATGCCACTCTCTCTCTGCCTAGCAACTGACCAGCAGTATGAGACGTATCCGTGACAACGGAGAAAATGTGCTGCAGGATGTCGCAGAAGTAGGTCTGATAGAAGCTCTGAGCTGCTCCCTCTTCCTGTGCGATGTTCTGCAGCATCGTGAACAGGACCTGAAGCCCTGGAGACACACAAATACACAGTCAGCGTTTCCATTTGTGTATGCGACTCAGGGCAATAACCAGGGGTTAAAGCAAAATAAAATCCTGAGCCTGAACTTTTTTCCGGGGGTTGGGGGTTGCGGGGGTGGACACATACATAGGGTTATTAGCAAACAAAAAAAAGAACATTATTTGAAAATGATTTTCCTTAAAACCAACTAGTAACGTATCTGCCATTGCCATTAGCCATTGAAAGGCTCAGACTACAGATTATGGTGGGCTATTTGAAACAGCAAAGTTTACTCATTACAATATGATGCAAACTCATTTAGGATGCTTTTGATATCAAGTTTTGCTGGTAAGCTTCGTCCTTGACAGGGTACAAGATGACCTACAATCTAAAACATGACATTTCTGAAATTGTTTTGTTCAAAATAAATATTGGTAAATTAAATACTAGGGAATGAATATAAAATAGGAAATATACAAAGACCGTTTACTACAGAAAACTACAGTTCAATTAACAACAACAGAAACATTAAAATGGTCCAAGAACTGGTAACTTAAACAGGGTTCGTACAGATACTACAAAATAAAATTCCAGGACTTCCACTACTTTTTTGGGGTTTTCAAGGACTAAAATCAGATCTCACTTATCAATCAATACAATCTTTCAAACTCTAATAAAACTAATACAACAAAATGGTACAAATAAAGTGCAGCACATGCAAAGAATGCAATGACTGGGTCAACTTTAACATATGAAAGGATACTACGGCAAAGTTATCGCTTTCCTTATTCAAACAGATTTTTTTTTCATGAACATATGATTGACCTGAAGAATGAAAGCTATATCATACACTTGGAAAATCATGAGCTTTATCACGCTCTTAGACACTAGGGGTGTGACAATACACTTAGCTCACAAGGTGAGACAAAATGCAGATACTTGGTTCACTAGAACGAGACCATGTTTGAATACTTTAAGAAATTTTCAAATGACAAAATATTTGTCTTTTAAATCACAAAAAGTAAAACAATGCAGTTGTATTTTTAAATGTTTTATCTAATCTAGGGCTTAACCAATGATTATTTTGCTAATCAAGTAATCTGATGTTTTTTAGTAATACAAACAGAACTAAGTGAAAAACAGGCTTTAATATGACTATTTATATATAAAGTAACGACGAGGCAATAATAATTGGCCTCAAATAAAGTATCAAAACCAAGTAAATGGTTTTATTGAACAACACTGTTAAATAAATAATGTAATATCCCTATATTATAACAAACCTGCAGAGGGCGTCAATGGCCTGGTGATGTTTCATGTATTTCAAGACGTTTAAATCCATTTAATTTTAATATTTGGCCACATGCAAAGTCAGAAACTTTTATTTTGAAATCGTGATGTACAATACATCGCATATTTTGAAATATGTTGATGTATTCTCCTGTGTTGGCATAGGTTTAAATGATTTACGTTACAAATCAAGGGAGTTTTCCCAGATGAACGTTAAGCAACCCAAACTCACCGCATATGCAGAGGAAGAGTTTAGCCCCTTTTACACATACAGTATTTACTGGTAAATTACCGTTAAGAGATCATGTGTGAATAGGACCTTTTTCAAAAATACAGGTAAATGCATTCTGGCAATATATATACGTTCTTATGGAGATGACATGATTACTCTGAGCTGTTTACAAAGCTCTGCTGCTTTTTTAATAGCTTTTCTATGTACATATGACGCTAGATGGAAATTTGACCATTGCGCCTCGCAGCTTTTTCAATGTGTCGAGCTCGAGACCCAGGCTTCTTTTCCATTCATCAGCTGCGACTCTGCAATTGGATGCTATTATGCACATCTTGTGTTTATAAAAGCAAAAACTTCTGATTGCCTAGTAATGTTAGTTTGGTTGAGAGTGAAAGCTGTGTTCCTCTTGTACATTGGTAGGCGAACTCATGAACTCGAACGTGATATCAACAAGTGTTTTTAAATGTAAGATGACTATCTTTTTTTCCCGCAGCCAAACGCCGCACACCGGCGTTCCGGCACCGTGCCGGAGAACTTTAAGCCCTGAATAACTGTCAAAATCAACACACAAACATAGGTCACAGATGCTTGGCTATTAAGAATTGTATTTTTGATCACCACAGTTCGTAAAATCAAATCCTTTTGCTTTCACACAGAGAAGCGTGTTTATTTGCTCTCTCCGCTCACCTGTGTCGGCCACATTCCTCATGGTGTGTTTGAAGGCCCAGATGATGGAGTCCAGAACCAGTTTGAACTGTGCTGGTGGGATGGACAGGAATGCTGGGAAACACTGGGAGTTGACAGCTTGCAGCAGGTAGAAGAAATGCGTCCTGTGCTCGGGGAACTCCTCAAAGTTCTGACAGAGGCAAAACACAGAGCATTAAAGAGAGAGAGAGAGAGAGAGAGAGAGAGAGAGGAGGAAGTAAAGAAAGAAAGGAAAAAAGAGAAAGAAAGAGAGAGAGAGAAAGATCTAGATTGCTGTCCTTCTTTGTAGGGCTGCACAATTAAACCAAAAGAGAACGTGATTATATCAATAAATAATAATATACAAAGTTAAAAAAAAAAAATATTTAAAAAGATATTTTACTATTGTAATAATAATGTCAATGTAAAATAAAAAAGTACTTAAGAAAAACATACTATTACTACTACTAATAGTAAGGTTACCAAGGGTATCACAAAAAATACTAATAATAAGAAATATTACTATTGTAACAATACCATTTTACTGTAAAATACAGTATTTGGGAAAAAAATTATTAGTTAGCAAGTTTATTACTAAATAAAAATAAATATTACTAATGCAATACCATTTCACCATAAAACACAAATATAAAAAAAAATGTATTATTGATATTGTTGTTGTCTTTGTTATCTTACAGTACACCTGTTAAATTGCAATACTAATATTTATAGATCTCTTCCTTTTCAAACATTGAACAATTTAGCATTTATTTAGGCAAAAAAAGTCACTGTAAAAGCTTCTCTTTTGTTGAGATGGTGCTTCTCATTACAATTTTGAGAAGAGCATCTGTGCACCTCGCGTTCCCAAATCCACATTTTAAGCAACTCATAAGCAACTTATGAATTCATGCGAAGCATTTACTGGGAGCCGAGACACTGAAAAGTGACGTCTATCTTGATTAATTGCTCAGCCCTACAGTACATAGTGCATGCTCCCTACTAGACTTATGCTGGTTTGATTCAGAAGAAACAACTCAAGAGATGAAACGAAACGGTTACACTGACAGACAGAATTGACTAACCTTGTTGATCATGTCAAGGGTGCACTCGAACACAGCATCGAATATTTTGGGGATCTCTCCTGTTATGTGAGCGCCGAGCTTGTTGACGATGGTTGCCATAGTGCTGAGCACTTCTGGTTCTCGAGCTGCTGGAACATTCCTTTGGTAGTCGATGAGAACTGCCTCCAGCAAAGGTGGAACGAAGTTCTCTCCAACCTGAAGAGAAAACCACAGTGCTTTGAACCGCTGTCAAACCAGACTCATTGTTTTGGCACAAGCGCAGACTGATCTAGGAACGTCAGAACTAACCATCTGCGGGTCGTTAGAGCGGCTGACCCATCCGGAGATGAGCTTTAGCGTCTCTCTCTTCACCGTCCGCATGCTCCGTATCAGAGGCTGCTTGGTCACCATCTCACCTGCAGAGGAAGACCAAAGAGTTTACCGCGAGTCATTATCACATGCCAGCTGTTGGGTCATGTGCTCCATGTCTCACCGTTGCTCTGGATGGCAGAAGAGATGTTCTCGCTCAGGCACTTGTAGACGTTGAGCATGTCCAGGTAAATGCGGCCCAGCTGCAGGACGAATGGGTGACCCACGGCTTTACACGCCCTCACGTTGGTCTTCAGGATGCTGCCTAGCTGGCGCACCGTCTCTGGGTCCTTCAGGATGTCCACATTCTGATTGAAGAGAAACATCATGTGCTTTGAGTTCAGGTGTTGTTGTTTCAATCTTGGTCGTTATAACTTGACATTAAAAGTATAAACCTTTAAAAGTGCAAGAAAAAGCCTGTTTTCTATTATTCAACCCCTTTTGGTTTTCATTGCAAAGTTCTGAGTATTAAAATTGAGCTTATTACAAAAGAGAAGCTTGATTAATTACATGTTTCATAATGGATTATTGTTAGCTAAAATGACAACTAAAACCATAAAAGTTCACTTAAAACAACAACAAAACAGACAAAAAATTACATTTCAATTCTGATAGTTGTCAAGAAAGCATCTCATTTATTCAGTTTAACTTGATGTACTAAAATTTGTACAAAATTACAAAAACATTAATAAACTATAAAATAAGTTATACAATACAATACAGAAAAACGAACAGAAATTATATAGACTATATAGTTAGCTAAAACCAAAACTATAAAAAAAGTGTTACTTGATATAAATGCAAATAAACTGAAAATGTGAAAATAAAAATAAAACAAAATATATACATTGGTGGCAAAAATTAGAACAGTAGTATTTTCAGCAGCTAAAAGATGGTTTTAAGTCAGTTATCTCCATCTTTTGCTGTGATGTGTCAGTAGGAAATTAATTTTGCCATTAATTATATATATAATAAAATATAATAACTACATAGACATTAAAAAGCATTCAAAAAAATAAAAACAAAAACCCTGGAACACAAATGAATACAATAAAAATGGAAAATATAAAAATAACTAATTCAATTTATTAATAAACTATAATAAGTATCTCAACAATACTAAAATGACACTGGTTCTCACCTTGGTGGCCTGCTGGATGATGCTGTCCCACACCTGGTTGGGGAGGAGCATGTATTTCTCGATCAGGCGCTCTTGGACCGTCTGGTCTGTCTGTGCTCCGATCATGTAGCCCACAGCCTCGTAAAACGTGTGCACCTGCTGCGGCTGCAGGTCACAGATGATGGTGTTGATGTTGTTGAGGATCTCATCGATGAAGGGCATCACCTCCCCTACCTGAACCTGCACAAAATGCCTCCTGCACTTCTGAGCAATCTTGATGAAGGTGTCACAGGCCATATCCTGCACGCCGTCATGGGTCTCTAAGAGAAAAAGCAAGACACTTTCCAATTAATATACACCCTTATGAGAAGATTAGCAAAAAAAACTAAAACATGCATGCATGAACACTCCAACACAATCTGCTCCTCACCGTGCATGAACTCAAACAGCTTGTTGACGACAGTCTTGAGGAACTTCCAGTGGGCCCTGAGGAATCGTGGGTACTGGCCGACGATGTACATGATGTTTGAGGCAATGATGGCCTTGTTATCTTTCCCTCTTTTCTGTTCACACAGACCCAGCAAGTCCTGAGACAGAAACAGAAATTTAGTGTTGGACTTGGTCTCTTCTGCTCACCAAGGCTGCACTTATTTGATTCAAATACAGTAAAATATTTTGAAAAAATATTACAATTTTAAATAGCTTTTTTCTGTTGTAAAATGTATTGTAAAGCATAGTTTATTCTTGTGATTAGAGCTGAATTTTCAGCATTATCACTCCAGTCTTCAGTGTCACATGATCCTTCAGAAATCAGTCTAATATGCTGATCTGCTGCTCAAGAAACATTTCTGATTATCAATAATGAAAACCTTTCTTAATATTGGTTGTGGAAATTCTTTGATAAATACAAAGTTCAAATGCATTTTACCCAATGCGTTTACTTGAAATAGAAATCTTTTGAAACACTGAAAGAATCTTCACTGTAACTTTCGATCAACTGAATGCATTCTTGTTGAATGAAAGGATTACATGTGTTATGAAAAACAGTAGCATACACTGCATGTATAGTGTGTTCTAGCATGCAACAGCAAACTTGAACAATCGTTTTCACATAACATTTCCTGATGGGCAATAACAAATGCATGAATAAACACCTTAATGACGGTGACGAGGAATCTCTTCTCATCCTCTTCATGCATGGCGCCACTAATGGAGCCGATGGCCCAGCACAGCGTGTTCAGGTTCCTCCAGGACCACTCAGTACCGTTCACCTGATTATGAAGCTTCTCTGTCATGATCCGCTCCGTATCCGCATAGTCCAGATGAGTCAAGTAGACTGGACAGGAGAAACACATCATTATCAAGCTTTCTCCATCTACTTTTCCCCCTCAGTTAGAGAACAGCCCATAATAATTACCCAGAGTCTCTCTCATGTTCTTGTAGAGGTTGATGGAGTCTGTGTCCTTCATGAATTCTCTCACCACCTCACCCTGATCGTTCTCCACCACCAGAACCTCCTCCGGTTTGGCCATGCGACTCACCATCAGCAGACGCACCTGAGACAGGTCAAGAATGCAGTCAGTTTTTTCTCCAGCTACCAATATTTGGAGGCAGAGCTGCTGTACAGCTCGGCTAACTGACCTTGGACAGCACAGGCAGGTAGAGGTGTCTGCGGGGCGGCACGTCGAAGTGCTGGCTGGTTGAGAGCAGTGGAGAGGTGGAGGTAGAGAAGGGACTCTCTCTGTAGAGCTCAGCGGCCAGATGGTTCCAGTACTCCAGACAGATCTTAAAGATCTCCGTCTCTTCCACCTCAGACACCAGCAGCATGTAATGCAGAGCCTGAACACACGGGAGTCAAGCAATTAGGAGTTTGTGTGTCACTTTACCGTCTATTTCTCGACATTTAACTACGTTGCTTCATACGTTAATACGTTAATAAATCATTAGCTCATCCATGAACATGATTTCTGCCCGAGTCCCGTCGGATTGCATCGGCTGCGAGGATGAAGACTACAACTCCCATGATTCCACACTCAGTCACAGCATCATCAAACCTTTGCCTCTTTGTTTATTTTGAATACGCGCCCTCTAGAGGCGAAAATTACATATGCCTTTAATTCTATATATAATATATATATACATACATACATAGTTCTATTTGTGTTTTAAAGTTATAATAATTGATGTGAAGTATACTGTTAAGTGCACTGATATCAGACTTATTTTGAATAAAGTTTGTTAAATACCCTGCCTCCATTACCTATTTTTGTCACATCATTATAAGTGTTTGAGCACCACATTTGAGTGATCATTGCTAAAAAATGTGTTTATCTATATATATTCGGTTTAAGTATATTTTGTATTCTATATACAGTACCAGTCAAAAGTTTGGAAACACGAATGGGAAGGTGTGTCCAAACTTTTGACTTGTACTATAATATATACATAAAGAATAATGGCCGATATATCGATATCTGACTTTTTTTACTCCCTAATATCGGTCCCAAAAAATTCATATCGGTTGGGCTCTAGTATAGACCCCTCTGACATCATCATAAGTTCATCCAAACAGATATGGTAATACGGTCGCACACTAGCAATCAAAAGATTTTTAAAATGATTTTTGAATGCTAGTGTCTTGTTCACCAAGGTTGCATTTTTTTACAAATCAAACATACAGTAATATTGTGAAATGATTACAACTTGAAATACCCTTTTTGTACTGTAATATATTTGTATATTTTAAATAATATTTTAAAATGTAATTTCTGTGATGCAAAGCTGAATTTTCAGCATCATTACTCCAGTCTTCAGTGTCACATAATTCTTTAGAAATCATTCTAATATGATGATCTGCTGCTCAAGAAAAAAATCCTATTACTAACCAACTCAGAAACACTTAATTTGTGTGTAAAACTATATTTCATTTCAGGATTCTCTGAAGAACAGAACGTTCAAAAGAACAACAATTTATTTGAAATAGAAATCTTTGTAACATTATAAATGTCTTTTTATGGTCACATTCGATCAATTTAATGTGTCCTTGCTGAATAAAAGTATTCAATTTAAAAAAAGAGAAGAGAAAAGAAAACAGTTTGTGTGTGTGTGTGTGTGCGCGCACATGTACCTGTTTGAGCTGCATCATGGTGAGAGTGAACAGGTTGACAAACTGCTCCTCATACTGACTGACACTGACACCTGCGATCTCTGTCAGACACTTCAGAGTGACGTTCCGGAACATCGGAACATTCAGAAACTGTGGAATAAATCAGAACACAAACGATAAAATTTCTGGAACACTCAGTGATTTTTACTAAGTGAGAGGCTATAAATGTTGGAGCACCAGCTCGGACGCAAAGCTTTGAGCAGAGATCCAATAAGAACAGCCAGCGCTCCAATGATTTCCCTCTCTTTCTTACGCAATGGCAAGGTGAACCAATGACAGTGTGCCTTTGTGAGAGGAGTGATGGCAGTCTGCTATAACAGCATTTTACTAAATCAAATGAGTTACAATTCAAGACCTCGAGTCATGTTACCTTGTACACCAGCGTGCTGATGAGTTTGGTCTCAAATATATAGCCAAGTGGAATCCAGTTCAGGAAACGAAGGAGGGTCTCCAATGTGGCTTGGACCAGAGGGGCATTCTGTGAATTTTCCTGATGTACAAAGCATCAAGTCAGGTTTAAAAATGAGAGGCATGAATATATTGAACGGCACATAAAGAAATAGTTAACCCAAAAGGGAAAATTGTGGATTATTGTGATGTTTTTATCAGCTGTTTGGACTCTCATTCTGACGGCACCCATTCAATGCAGAGCATCCATTGGTGAGCAAGTGATGCATGATCTGTTCCCATGAACAAAAACTCATCTACATCTTGGACAGCCTGACATTGAGTACATTTTCAGCTAATTTTAATTTTTGGGTGAACTATACCTTTAATACTAAAAACACTAATGCTGTAATAATGTCCTGCAACATACCATGACAAACTGGCACAGCTGGAAGATCTGGGAAAATTCGTTGCACATACTGCAAAAAGAAAAAAAAGGGCTAGAGGTTGAGCAAATATCACCACAATTATTTTGCCAACCACACCCTGCAAAGTCTGCAATGGTCATATGTTGCAGGTCATGTGTACCTGTCCTTCAGGTGTTTGGCTTTGACCTGAGTCATCTGCCCACTGGAGAAGTCAAACACCTCCTCACTGAGGAGCTTCAGGATGATCATGTTGTTCTGACACAGGCTCTCGCTGGTGCGACTCGCTCCCACAATGTCACTGATGAACGTGGGCCAGTGCTTCGGCCACTCCTGCTTCAGAATCTACACACAAACAGAAAGACATCAACAGCAATAAATCCATGAGCCCTTCGCTCTCACAATATAACCACTACTGACATTCCTGAAAACACACTCACCTGCACCAGGATCATGTTGAGCTTTGCTATGTAAACCCCTTCCTTCTGTAAGAGTACAAATACAAGTCAACATGAATGCATTCAGCAATATGACTAGTACTAATCAGGGTTATAGTTAACTAAAAAAAATGTACTGAATGCTAAATAAAACAATAGTTTAAAGTGTTTTATTTCAGTTATTTTATTTACATTAATGAAAATGCCTTTTAATATCTTGGTTGTAACCAGCTGATTAATAGTGACTAATTAATGGAAATATGATCATTAAGAAAAAAGAGAGAAAAAAAAAGCTTTATATCAGTTAGACACCAAGGCAAATATGATCATTTTTTTATTTATCCATCATATTTATGATCATTTTCATTTAGTTTAAGTTGAAGTACTAATTCACTAACTAAAACTTAAATAAAAATTTATAAAAACTAATGCAGACATTAAAAAAAAGATAATGTCCAAAAACCCCAAGTTTATTTTACTTTTTTAATAGTTTTAGTTGTAACTAACTGATTGAAATGTAGTAATTAAATTTAAATAAAATAAACACTAAGCAAAATAAAATAAGACAATATTTTAAAAAAGGCAACATCTCTTTTTTTTGTTTAAAGTTGAAATGCAACTTCAATAAACTAAATAAACAAATTAAAAAGTTACTTTAAGTTAAAAACAACAAAACGTTAACTAAAATTAAACAGAAAAATATGAAAATAAAATCAAATTTTAAAGGTCCCATATTGTCAAAATGAAATTTCCTGGCTTTTTTCATGATAACTGAGGTCTAGGGGCTA